GCAGCAGGAGGCCTTCTGTGGCCCGTTTCATTCCCTCGCCGAGTTTTTTAAAACACATATCTTTCTTGATTTCAGAGAGGAGGGGGAGAGAGACATCAATGACGAGAGAGGATTATCTACCAGCCGCCTCCCGCACGCCCCCTACTGGGGATTGAGCCTGCAACCCGCGGGCATGCTCGGAATCGAGCAGGAATTGAACCTTGACCTCCTGATTTATAGATCGGCACTCCACCACCGAGCCACACCGGCTGCGCCCCTCACGGCATTGTGTTAACACCTGTTCCCCTCGGCATCCTCCATCGCCGTGTTTCTCTCTCTCCCTGTGGCTTCAGCACTGCGGTTCATCGGGGTTCTGCCTGCGCCCTCATGTCGACGTCACCTCTGTCCCACCGGAGGGAGGTCTTCTCTTCCTGCAGCTTCACCCCTCGCACCGGGGACCACCCTCAGCCTGCTCCACACCAGCACCTCCTGGGCCGTTAACCAGACTGTCCTGCTAATGCCAAGACCCTGGCCGAAGAGCCTACACAGGCGGTCGGCAAACTCACTAGTCCACAGAGCCAAATATCAACAGGACAACGATGGACATTTCTTCGGAGAGCCACATTTTTTAAACTTAAACTTCTTCTCACGCCACTTCTTCAACATAGACTCGCCCAGGCCGTGGTGTTTTGTGGAAGAGCCACACTCCAGGGGCCAAAGAGCTGCGTGCGGCTCACGAGCCGCAGTTTGCCGACCACTGGCCTATACCGTCAAGGTCCATAGATCTTCCCCCAAAAAAAAGGTTCACTTTCTTCCCTCACCGACTCTGCCTCCTCATCAGTTAAATGGTAAACGGTGACGCACCCAGAGACCAAGGCAGGAACCTCAGAACCTCTCTCGGCGTTTCAGGGACCTGCCTCCGGACCGGTCCCTCCTCTGTGCCGGCTGCTCTCTCTCAGGCTATGGAGGCACGTGGGCTCCTGGCCTCCAGCCTGCCCTTGCCCTGGTCCAGCCTCACGTCCTCCCCCTTTCAAACACAGGTCCCCGCCCTCACTGCCCGTCACCTGGCCTCTGCGGGCTCCACGCACAACCTGCCCCTGGGCCAGGGCTTACCTTCTCCTCATCTCCATCGTCTCTGCAGCCACACCTGCCCACCATCACTCTCTCCCTCCTCGCACGTGGCTCCCCAGGCCTCGCTGGAACCTCAGTAGGCTTTTAGCAGGAAGAAGGCCGGAGAGGTCACACAGGTGTTTTAGGATTTAAACATGAAGAGGAGACAGTGACGTCCCTCCAAGAGGGAGACTGTGCGCAGGAGGCAGCGCCCACGCCTGGGTGAGGTCTCAGGAGAGAGGACGGCTCTGAGCGGCTGGGAACCTGGAGGAGGCCCCAGAGCTGGACCTGCAGGCTGCGGGCAGGCGGCAATCCCCCCCACCCCCACCCCCTCGCCTCCCCACCTCCACTGCTGCTGGGGCCTCCCACAGGCTGGGCAGGGGCCCTGGGAGCTCAGACCTCCAGGCAGGGAGGCTGCGGTCAGGCAGGAACCTCTCAGGGACATGAAAATGCTGAGCCCGGAAATCCAATGTTGGTCGGTCAGGGGGAGGGGGACGCTGCTGGGGTGATCCTGTTGGGAAGAGCTATGGCCCAGGAAAAGGAAATCTCCCTCCCTTCTTGCCTCCTCCAGCGACCCCATGTGGTGGGAGCCAGGAGACAGCCCGCAGGGTTCCAGCCTCAACTTCGCAGGGTGGGGGGTGGGCTTAGAATCTAGACAGTGGCTCAGTCCGGGCCCTCACTTCTCATTTCCCGTCCACAACGCTCTTCCCACCCACAGCTGCCTGTGTCCACGCCTCAATTCCAACACAATCTCCTTCCTTTCCTCTTCTCTGTCTCCCACATCACCCTTCACCCCAGCGGCTGAAGGCCCCTGCCATATGCAAATACCTCCTTTAGAATCTGTTATTTGTATAGATATATTTTTTTCTATCATAATTATTTCTGTGTATGCTCATGCGTTTGATTTCTGCCAAAAGGCAAGCTCCTTTAGGGCAGGTAGAGCAACAGGTTTTTATTTATTTATTTTTTATTATACTTCATTGGTTTTTTTACAGAGAGGAAGGGAGAGGGATAGAGAACTAGAAACATCGATGAGAGAGAAATATCAACCAGCTGCCTCCTGTACACTCCCCACTGGGGATGTGCTCGCAACCAAGATACATTCCCTTGCCCGGAATCGAACCTGGGACCTTTCAGTCCGCAGGCCGACGTTCTATCCACTGAGCCAAACCGGTTAGGGCTGGCAACAACTTTTAAACCTAGCCGGGTGCCAGGCACACCACACAGCAGACACGCTGGCTGGAATGGAGAAGGGTCGTTTCACAAATTTAATAGGAGATCCCTCCGCGTATAAATTGTATCTTCCCAACCGGACACGAGCGCCTCAAGAGCAGAGCTTTAGATTTCCTGGCTTTTTCTTCGTGGCGTTTAGTGCGAGTTTATCATTAAGCGCCTTGATTTTCATTCAGGGTGGCACAGAGACGGGGCATTAGCGTGTGATGAGCAGGCGAGCTGTGCAGGGAGGTGTGGATGAGCTTCCAGCACACGGTCCCCACAGAGTGTGCTGTGCGGACCATCAGGCTGTGTCTGTGCTAAAAGAATAGCCCAATCACGAGGCCCACTGCCGTAGTCTTGCAGTGAATTCTAAAGCAATGGAACATATCGTAGGTCTCTTCCCCCCCCCCCGTGTCTCTCCTACCCCCGCTCCATGAGGTTACATTTGTTCCTCTTATTTATTAAATTCCTCCCAATGATCATCATCCATCCGTAGATTGGGTAAACATAGGGAAGGCACTGAATTTTAACGTAACCACCAACTTCCCGAAAAAAAAAGAGACCTCTCTCCAACAGCTGACCTACATTCGGGCCCAAGAAGAAGCAAAACCTCTTTTCCTTTTTTTTTTTTTTTTTTTTTTTTTAAGGGGGCGTGACATTTAATGAACTATTGATCTCTCCTCAATTACTCAAGGCAAGCAATTATCGACAATGAGGGGACAATGATTCCCCTCGCTCCGGAGCCCCCGGGAGAGGAAGTGTCCCATTGAGCCACTGCTCCCGGGCAAAGCTGCTAAGAATCTGTACCTGGAGGTGGAAACAGCCACGTGGGTCTGTTTATTCCACGTTTCCCCCAATGAAACAGTATCTCCTGAAGCGGAAGCAAAAACGAAATCCCAAAAACCCATGCATGCTCTCCAAACTCAGCACCACCACCAAAAAAAAAAAAAAAAAAAAAAAAGGCGAAGGCGTTGGCCCTGACCTCATCTCTCACCACTGGTAGGCTGGGCCTCGTGTCCCCTAAAACGCTATGATTTGGGGGTGACCCTCAGGAGTCCACGCCACCCAACGAGAGGTCGCCTAGACACTCCTCGGCAGTCTTGTCTACCAAGACTTGGAGCTGAAGGGTCAGAGGGCAGGAGGCATCGCCTGTATGGCTTACAGACAGCAGGCCGAGCACCCTGGAGAACGACACCCAAACCTCATGCCAGCGTCACAGGGTGGCAGCCTGGGAGCTGCGGGCGGCGGTAACCGGGGCCCCGTGACGGCCACCCTGTGATCACCCTGAGGGCACCCCGCAGCCCTGCTCTAGGCTCCCCTGCACACGGAGCGTTCCCGTGTCCCTTATGAGCTTCTTCGCAAAGGGACGTGACCGGCCATTGCCAGGAGTGAGGACAAGGCAGCAATCTCTGTGACTAGTCCTGGGTGGAGAGGGGGTATTTTTTACATACTTTTCAGTTGATATTGAGAGTGAGTGTGTGAGTGTGTGTGTGTGTGAGAGAGAGAGATTCACGTGGTACCCCTGGTGAAATTTAACCATGGCATTTTTTTTTTTAAAGGAAAATGCTACAATTTATTTTCAAAACCTCCTTTTTCTGCTCTGCCCCCACGCCCATCCCAGAGTTCCCACACAGGAAGCGCTCCGGCAGCATGTGCTGCTAGAAGGTGCTCCTGGCGCCTGTCTCCATTTCCCCGGGTTCTGGTTAACATCCTGCTAAACCGGTGAAACCCTGATTACCTGAAAGAATAAGCAGCACGTGGCCCTAACGAGAACACCCAGCATGCCGAGGAAAATAAACGACTGGAGATTGCAAGTGGCCCGGCAGGGACCGCCCTTGCGTTTCCGTCTCCGGCTTTGGCTGGTCTGGACTGGCTCACACAGATGTGACCCATCCATGAACATGGTGAATCTTTGCCAATCAGGGTTTCACCGCTGCATTCCTTATGATCCCGGGAAACCAAGGTGACCTTGGCCTCTCCTTCCTCCGCTCACAGGAGGATCAATGCCGCCATCGGCTGTTCTTCCTCACACTCCTCCATGCAACAGCTTCCTCTCCCCCCACGGGGCTGCCCTGCCTGCATGCCGCCTGCCCCTGCTCTCCCCCCTCCCCCAGCCCCAGGGCCCCTTCCCTTGGCTTCTGTCCTCATGCATGTGGCACGGGCATCACCTGCAAGGAGAAGGCCACCCCCTTGGAGGTTCCTGGTCACTTAGCAGCCCTGCTTTGCATTCTAATGGGCATCCCCTGTCTTCCAAGCTCCGCGTTCTTGCATGCGATATTGGTCCTTTAAAAGCCTGGGGGGCCACCGCAGGTCCCCTGGAGAGACCAAGGGGATGATGTGCCCTAGCTCTGGACAGCCTCACATGCCAGGGAGACTGTCCCAGGTTGCAGCAGAAATCCACAGGAAGAGAACCAATGGGATTGGGGAAGAGGGAGCGGGGGGAGGGGAGGCAGCAAACTACCTGTGTGTGGAAATTGGAGTCACGTGCTCCATTTGCGGGGGGGGGGGTAATGGAAATGGGGATGTGGGTGGGGATGGGGGTGGGGGTGGGGGTGAGGGTGGGGGCGGGAGGGGGCGGGGGAGCGTGGGATCAGCCCATCCATTGCGATGTTTGAAGCTGGGAACAAGCTGTACCCGATGCGCTGACGCTGAATCTGCTTCTCCCCCTCCCCCTCCCCCTCCCCCTCGCCCTGCAGCCAACGTGTGCGACAACGAGCTGCTGCACTGCCAGAACGGGGGCACCTGCCACAACCACGCGCGCTGCCAGTGCCCCGCCGCCTACACCGGCGTCCTGTGCGAGAAGCGGCGCTGCGAGGAGGCGGGCGGCTGCGGGGCGCGCTCGGGCCAGGGGGCGCCCCCGCGCGGCCGCGCGGCGCTGCTGCTGCTGCTGCTGCTGCTGCCGCTGCTGCCGCCCCCCGCGACCCCGACCCCGACCCCGACCGCGCTGCTCGCCATCTAGGCAGCCCCGCAGCACCACCGGCCGCGCCGAGGCCCGGGGAGCCCACGCCGCCGCCCACGCCCCCGCTCCGGACCCAGAAACACTCCGACCCCCGCGCCCCGCAGCGCCCGCCCCGGGAGGCCCGACTGAACGAAGCCATAGTCCTCAGCTGTGGACAGCGCACCCACCCATCCAGGCGGCTCTGCTCTGCTCCTCCTGGCTCGGGAGCCAGTGCCAGCTGCAGGGCCCAGGGCTCGTGGGGAAGGCTGAGGCGGCCCCTCCGCACAGGACAGACAGAAGGAACAAACTAACGGACCTGGGAAGGTGGGTGCGCTCCCGTCTGCGCCCCGACACCAATGCGCCCTAGGGCGCGGGGCCCCAACACGCAGGAGCGACTTTGGCGGGCGGGGCGCCGTGACCATGACCATGACCGCGGGGTGTCAGGGCATCCGCCTCGGCCCTCGAACCCCCTCCCGAGCTTCAGTGGACGTTGCTCTGTCGCCCTCGTTGGTCGGAAGGTTCCTGTCTGATGTCAGTCTGTGCGCACCTGTCACCGCCCCTCCGGCGCTCGGGGGAAGGAGAAAGTGTATCTATCCTTTTGTATTCAAATGAAGTTATTTTTCTTGAGATACTGTACTATGTAGATTTTTTGTATTCTTGCCGATGATTTGTGTTACCAGACAATCTGTTCGCGTTTCCCCCTCGTTCCGCGAGCGCGGCCCAGACTGACACGCTTTGCTTTGTCCTCTCCCGTTCGTTCTGTTGTGAGATTTCTCTGTGAGGGCGGACGGATGCGCCGCCGGCATCAAAGAATATCCGTTTACATATACATAGCGAGTGTCATAAGACTCCACCAAAGGACATTCCGTTTTCCTGTTTGCTTTAATCCGGGGAGAGGCGAGGAGTCAAACCGCTCCTGCCTACGGGAGCCCAGGAATCCGTGGGGCGCTTTCCGGAGAGGCCAGAGCAACTGCCCAGCAGCGTCCACGCGGGCTTTCCCGGCCTCGGTGTGGCCCGGCCATGGGCAGCCGGCAGAGTTGGTGCCCGGGAAGGCAGAGGACCCGCGCTAGCTTGGACACCTTCTGCAAAACCCGAGACTGTTTCCGCTCGGGGGGGAAAATGACCACAGGAAAAATTAAATAAATAACTCTAAGCGATTGCCAAGCTTATGCCAAAGCCTGCTGGCAGAGTACGAATGAGAGACTTTAATTTTTCAGCCATGCTATCGTCACAGACGGATGTGACCGTGCGACCCCAGGGGAAGGGAGGCGGATGGACGGATGGATGTGTCTTTCCAAACACAGTGTTTACAGGGGGTGCCGTGGGGGGAGCAGCCTGGGGACCCCGGGCAGTGGCAGGGAATGGAGTGTTCGCAACGGGACTCTGACTATATTCAAACTCTCTAGAAGAACTATCCACTGCCCAGCAGCCAGTAGGCGTGACTGCTGGGCCTGAGAATAAAGTTCGTTTTAAGTACCACCCCAGGTGTGATCGATTCTTGTTTCTGCCTCTGATTAGGCCGATTGCTGGGCAAAGCGACGAGGGGAGGCGGGCGGGGGCATCCCAGCGGCCGGACCAGCGCATGCCCCTCCCAGCACAGGTGACTGATGTGGCGGCAGCCGCCTCCGTTGCCCTCAGAAACCACATCAGCCCCAGCCCGAGACTTCGAGACAGGGAAGTCCTCTGTGACTTGGTGGCCCAATGAGCTAAGACAGTTTTGGGTTGGAAGCCTGGTCTCTCCGAATCCCTGACCCCGAATCCCCCACTCCCTGCGACATTGGGGGAAGGGGGGTAAAGGGGAGGGAGGACGTCTGCAGATGAATAACAAACACCAGGTGAGGCATGCTCGACAAACCCATTAGCCAAGAGAGTCAAATACCAACAACACAACAGTTGACATTTCTTTGGAGAGCCACATTTTTTTTTAACTTAATCTTCTTCTAACGCCACTTCTTCAATATAGACTCGCCCAGGCTGTGGTGTTTTGTGGAAGAGCCACACTCAAGGGGCCAAAGAGCCACATGTGGCTCGCCAGCAGCGGTTTGCCAACCCCCGAGATGAGGGAACGGTGTGTCTTATTGGTTTTGTTCCCAGAAAAAGCCAATTCCAAGAAGGCAATCAAAGGTAAACAGGGCTGAAGCTGGTTTGGCTCAGTGGATAGAGCGTCTGCCTGCAGACTGAAAGGTCCCAGGTTCGATTCCAGTCAAGGGCATGTACATTGGTTGCGGGCACATCCCCAATAAGGGGTGTGCAGGAGGCAGCTGGTCGACGTTTCTTTCATCGACGTTTCTAACTCTCTCTCTCTCCCTTCCTCTCTGTAAAAAAAAAAAAAAAAAAAAAAATCAATAAAATATATTTTTTAAAAATAAAGTACATAACCTTTCTCTATTCATAGACAATGAAAAAAATTCATTATATAAAAAAAAAAACACAAAGGTACGAAGGCCCTGCCTGCCGCCCCGCATCTAAGCCGATTGAATGTTTGTTATTGGAACTCACAGCCTCTCCGGATGCACGAACCAGGGGAGACAGATATGAGATAGAGCCAGCGTGGCCAGTCAGAACCTGGCCGTTTACCTGAGAAGCATCAGCAGCAAATTCTCGATCGGGAACCCTCCTGACCTGTCCACAGCCCAGACTCGGAGATCCCTCCTGAGATGGCGGGTTTCCCAGTTAAAATCAGGGTGTGCGGTGCCTTCGAGGTGATTAGCACAAACCGTAGGCAAACCTGTTTCCAGACACGGCGCACTTTGTTATCACCGGCTCCTGGCTTTGTCACAGGCTCAGGGGCCAGGCTGCACCTTTCGGTACCCAGGAGGCCGACAGCTAATTCAAATGCCAAAACCAGTTTGACTCAGTGGATAGAGCATCAGCCTGCGGACTGAAGAGTCCTGGGTTCCATTCCCAGTCAAGGGCATGTACCTTGGTTGCGGGCACATTCCCAGTAGGGGACGTGCAAGAGGCAGCTGATAGATGACTCTCCTCGATGTTTCCAACTATCACTCTCGCTTCCTCTCTGTAAAAAATCAATAAAACATATTTTTAAAATAAAAATAAAAAAATAAAATTTAATGAAGACCCGATGGGCATCACTCCATCTGCATGTTACCTCCAGGAGTCTCTACAGATCTCACTGGGGGAGGAATAGCTCGCGTCCCTGTATTGAGGGGCAGCTTTCTGAATTTCCTGCAGCGACGTGATCTGCTTTTAACGAAAATTCCCTTTGGGCTATAGAACCCGTGTGACATGAAACTCTCTTTGTCATCAGGATCCTCAGGTTCCTCTAAACGTGAGAGTGTAAAGGGGGTGCTCCCTTGAAGCAATCCCATCTCGGTGGGTTTCATTTGCTGCTTTCTGGCATTCCGGGATGTAGGCTCAATTCCCCAGTAGGGGGCGTGCAGGAGGCAGCAGGTCAATGATTCTCTCTCATCCTTGATGTTTCTCTCTCCCTTCCTCCCTCTCTGAAATCAATAAAAAAAACATATAAAAATAAACTTCAACAAGTTACGGGCTGGGGGAAGGCAGGCGGGCCTCACTGGGTGGAATGTGGGGACTGCTGAGTGGCCTGGGGCAGTGGGAGGAAACTCTGAAATCGGATCTTCCGTCTCATCGCTTTCGCTCCCCACCATCAAGTCAATAACCCAGTGTGACTGGGGTGTCAGCCCCCACATTCTGAAGGGGGAAGCTCTGTGTTAGATGGGAAAGGGCAGGTGTGTTCACCCGCTGTCAGCTGCTAAATAAAATCCCCGTTTGGCAGTTTCTCTGCTCCCAGAATGGCACACACTGTGTGGAGCTTCGAGCTCTGTGTCCCTTGCACTTACAGACGGGACTGTGTGTGTGACCTTAAAGCTGCAGTTCCTGAAACCGAACTCGAGTTCTTTCCCCTCCGTCTCTATCCCCCGGCTTTATCGACAAGGACGGCGAGAGTGGTAGCAGTGAAGCTGGTAACGAGCGCAATCTGAATCACCAGGGAAAACCCGAGGGTGTTGTTTTGTTTTGTTTTGTTTTGTTTTCAACAAATCCAATGGGACCACCTTAGTCACACCTGGGGGTGAAAAATACAGAGAAGGAACACCCCCAGAGTTCTGACCCAAATATCTGGTTGTGAGCAATTCTTTGTCTCCGGAAATCAGGACTCAATTTTCCTCCTGAGAAGTACCCGGGGTTCATCGGCACCAATACTGCGACAGTTCTGACCATTTCCAAATAAGAGAGCGTTTCGCTTGTAACTGTATTTTAACACATATATATATATATATATATATATATATATATATATATATATATATACACACACACACACACACACACACACACTACAAGTAGTAACTCAATGTTCCATACCTACAATGCTAGTCCACATTTAAATCCGAGAATCACTGCTCGTAAACAATGCTTGGGGAATGATTAGCACGTGACCGTACCACGTCACCAACAATCATTGGTTGATTGGTCCTGCCGTCACGTGGCGGGGTTCTGCAGCAGGTGGAACAGGTGCGGTCCCTGTTCCCGCCTGCGCTAAGCCCCGCCCCCTCACCCTTCTACTTTCCAGGTGAGGGTGAATGCCTGCCTGCATTGACTAGACCTGCTCAGTATCCATTTAAAATGCAGTACTTCTAGACAGCTGTTGATGAAATCGAACTTCTGAGACATCCCTATTTTCACTTCTATAACCCTGTCTACACACGTCGACACAGGTGCACGCATTTGTCCATTCCTGAACACACACCTCCAGGAAGCCCGCTAATGAGCCTGCTAGTTCGGGTTTTCCTGTGCCACCCTGCAGCTCCGAGCACGAGATGGGCTCCCATGTTTCTGTCTGTGAGCTTGGCTGTTTCCGATACCTCACGTGTGTCTACAATGAGCGGAAGGTGGCCAAGGTGGCTGCCAGCAGCAATTCGGCGGGCAGAGCTGGAGGCGGGGTGCCGTGACTGGGGCCACCGTGTGACCCCCACATGGCGATGCAGTGCGGAAGGGGTTCGGGCGTCTGCCATTCGGTCATAGCTGCTGAAGGGCAACTT